GATTATGGTTTTCAAATAATACATATATATGTATATATATGTATATATATATATATATATATATATATATATATATATATATATATATATATATATATATATATATATATATATATATATATATATATACAGTGCTCGAAATAATGGCCAATCCACGATCAATGATCGGCTATTTTTATGGAAATTTCGAAAAATCGAAGGTAAAATAACCTGTTTTTGTGAAAAATTACATTTGATCGGCAAACTTTGAAAAACTATTTCGAGCGCTGTATATATATATATATATATATATATATATATATATATATATATATATATATATATATATATATATATTATATATAAATATAACATCTTCGCTTTCAACAAGGCTGCATGCAACCACTAATTAGTGTTGGAAGTTACTGAAAGAGAAAATATGAGGATTGTAGAGCAAGATAACGATTGACAGATGACTTAAAAGATTGAAAAATATATGAATCAGAAAAGCAAGATGAAGGAAACAAATTCCAAAGACCTGATGTTTGAGGAAAAAAACTAGGCAAATAAGAGTTTTTGGAGCACTTAGGAACAGTAACAAAAAAAAGATGAGACTTAATTGAATGACGAGTAACACAAGAATGAATTTTAGTACATGGCACAAGAGTCGCTAGCTCATTAGAGGAGTGACCATTATAGTATTTGTAGAAAAGAGAAAAAGAAGCAACATTACGATGATGTGTCAGAGGTTAAAGGTAGGCTGCAAAAGCATGTCCAACTATGTTTACAATGCGTTTTTTCCACCTTGTCTGATAGAGAAAGGGCATCATTAGAAGATCCACCCTAGATATGGCAACAGTATTCCGTACAAGGCTGGACTTGAGATTTATAAAGATAGAGAATAGAATCCAGAGTAAAAAAGTGACAAACTCGATAAAGAAATGACTTAAATGGATAAGAAGAAGACTAATGGGACAGTAGTTAGATAAATCAGATCGCTTTCCAGAATTTTTGAAAATAGGGATAACAGATGCTGCTTTCCAGCAGGCTGGAAAAAAAGACTCTGATAAGCACTTGTTGAATAGTTTTGAAAGGATAGACGACAGCTCGGGAGAACACTTTTGCAAGACTATAACAGGTATTTTGTCCGGGCCGCTAGCTGTAGAAGAGTCTAAGCAGGAAATCACTTTAGATACAGAAGCTGGAGTGATACCGATGTCGAGCAGTGGATCAACATAATTGACAACATATCAGATAGAACGCAACTAGTGGAATTCTTGGCAAACAATTCAGCTTTGTCTTTAGGTGAGGTGACAAAGTCTGAACCGTACAAAAGAGGCGGAGTTACAGACTAGCCCTTATTATTGATACTAATAAAGATTCTCCAGAAGTCACGAGAGCCTAATTTTTGTGATGAAATACGAGATTTCATGATCTGAGAAAAGCAGGCTTTGGCATAAGATAAAACCTTTTTACAATGGTTCCTAGTAGTAATAAACAGACGTCTGTTTTCTGGAGAATTGTTTTGCTGATAGATATGGAAGTAATGGTTTTCCATTGGCAATTGCAGCAGCACAGTATGAGGAAAACCATTGAGAAGAGTGAGGTTTGACCTGGAATTCGAGAGGGAATGAAGGATTCTATGCCAGCCAGAATCCACGAAGTTATGTAAGAAGCACATTTGTCAACAGGAAGACGAAAGATTTCTACCCAGGGGCCATCATGAAGAAAATCACGGAAAGAGTCCCAGTCAGCTTTAAGGTAGTTGTAAGATGTAAAATGATAGGGGGATTCTGATGGTAAAGAAGAATGAGATAATAGTTTTAGAGAGACCAAACCATGATAGGAGGTACCTAAGGGTGAGTGTAGTGAAACTGAACACTGACTAGGATTAAAAACAAGACATAAGTCGAGTAGAGAAGGTAAATGATTCGGGTTGTATGGAAAGCGAGTTGGAAAGTTGACTAATATAATTAGGGATTGAGAAAGGCAAAAGTTGTGGGCCTTAATGCCTGCGAAGTCACTGACACTAGAGCCAAGCCATTCAGTGTGATTAACATTGAAGTCACCGACAACAACAATATTGGCTGTTGGATAAAGAGAGAGGGTTTGGTCAATATGATCAGAAATATCATCAAGAAGAGTGCAGTCTTGAGATGAGGGAAAGCGATATAGAACAAAGAAAAAGGTGATAGAGTGAAGTGGTGCTAAATGAAAGCACATAAAAGAGTAGTCAGTGGATTCAAACCTAGTTTCCTGACAAATGGGTGAATTCTTACAAATGTAAATGCCTAGGCCAAGCATGTGACTATTGGAGTCTTTATGAATAAAAGGAAGATAACCATCAACACTAAGATCACAAGATGAGACAGCTGAACTCAAATTAGTCTCACAAAGAGCAAGTAGGTCTGGTGAACTTTGCAAGAGATAAGACTCAACAGAAGAAAAGTTACTTCGAAGACCACCAATATTGGTTAATGATAGGTTTAGCAAAATTGATGATGACTGTGGTTTGTTGTGCTTTATAGTTTTTGTTACTTTATTCATTTTTAAATTTATTAAAGAACTTAATTAGAAACAAAGATAGTACTTAGTACTATCTTTGTAACAAACTGTTTGCTTTATAAGTTTCAGTAATACAACAGCAAATAGTTTCAATGCTTTTATAACAGCAACTTAGAATTGCAACATTGATCAGCTCGGAAAGAGTAATAGATAAAGCATTTATAGCAGTTAATTAAAAGCAATAATAAATAAAAATAAAATGGAAATAAAAATATAAATGAAAACATAAATTTTGTTTTCATTTATATCTTTACTTCTATTTTATTTTTATTTATTATTGCTTTTGATAAACTGCTATAAATGCTTCATATCTATTGCTCTTTCCAATCTAATCAATGTTATGAAGACATTACTGAGACATAAGGAGATTTTATATTTTATGATCTATTTTGAAAATAGATCATAAAATATAAAATCTCCTTATGTCTCAGTTTTGAAGTAATATATTTTTTGATTGATATTATAGAAATCAAAAAAGTTTAATGTAATGAAAGAAAACTATTTTTAATAAGATTTTGTTAATATTTTTCTTCTAAAGTTCAATTTATTGGGATATTATCAGCCACAGGGACAAAAAAAAGGGTTTGACTCAGGGAATTTTCGAGTTATCAAGGGGTTTGAGTTATCAACATAGTGATTTTTGTGAGAAAGTGTGAGGGAGAGTTCAACAGGAATGTTAAAACACTTTGAGTTACTAAAAGTTCAATATATCTGCAGTGTGCTGTTTTTATTAATAACCTACATAAACAAATGTTTTTGTTTTTTTCTGTTGTTTTTTTTTGAACTGTTACAGTACAAATTATATTTTTTATAATAAAAATATTATAAAATCTATGACTTTGTGTATATTGTTTTAATGTTTTACAATTGTTTTTATTTAAATATACTTTATAATTTTTTGAGTATCTCACTAAACTGTTATAATATCTAGCATTATATTTATTTTGGATTTATTTGAACACTATTTTTCTATTTTTCAGGTTTAACTCTTAATATTTTTTAATTCTTAAGATTAATTCATTTTTAACATTTTGAAAAACAATTCTTACATGCATCAGATTGCACAAGAAGCTAAAGAATACATAGGAAATACCATTACCCTGAAAACTTTTCTAAAGATATGAACACTAGCTAAGGTTATGGGAATTAAGTTCTTTCTATTTGGGAAAAACTGAAATTTTTATCAGTGGTGGAGATAGAAGATGTCTACGAAATTGCAACTTTTGTAGTAATATCTTACATGCCTTAGTTTCTTAAGTCATCTATAATAATTCATACACAATCTAAAAAAGACTTAAAACAAAAATTTAAATTTAAAGTAAAAAAAAAAAAAAAAAACCATAAGAAAGAAAGAAAATGTTTAAACCTGGTCAAGTCTAACCACTTATACTATAAGTGGTTAGACTTGACCAGGTTTAAACATTTTCTTTCTTTCTTATGGTTTTTTTTTTTTTTTTTGTTATAAGTTATATATGCTATAATATATATGCTATAAGTTATAGTTTTTAATATTATTATTTTTATTACTGCTTTTTTGTAACTTTCAGCTTTTCATTTTTACTGTCTAACTTGAATTATACACTAAAACTAGAATTAGTTTTGTTTATAATATTATTTTTATTACTGTTGTTGTTATTGTTATCATTGTTGTTTATAAAAATTTTAAAAGCTCAGTTTTTAGATATATTGCTTACATTACCACTATTATCCTTATTATATATTATTAGCATTACAAGGGGTTTAATTCATATAAGTTTATAACTATTTGCATTATAAGGGGTTTAATTCATATAAGTTTATAACTATTTGTAACTTGAATGTAAGATCTTCATTGATTGAAATAGAACAAACAGTTATAACAGTTATTGTCTGAGAATAACAATACCATCTTATAAAAAAGTGAAACAAAGTACTAACGAAGTTTGACGTTTTCCAAAGCCTTTATATTTCAATTTTTGTCCACCATGAATGCAGCAGTACTTTATAAAAGAGTATTTTATTTGTGGAGCCATAATACTAGCTCTCTTTGGAATGCTTTTTCTAGCAGCATTAATTGTCTTAGCGTCTCTTATCCATAGTTGCACAAAATTAGTATTTTCATATTTTTTAATTACTTTCAAATTAAATTTAAAATTTGCTTTCAGATCTTCAAATGACAAAAAAACAACTTTGCAAGTAAAAACAGTTGACATTTTCCAATATAAAATTTATATTTTCCAATTCAAATCTATGAAAATCGGAATTTGTTTTTACACGTGACTTTAGCAACCAATAGACGCGCATACGGTACTATAAAATATTTTTTAATAAAACGCATACCGGAAAAAAATTTGTAAATAAATAACTAAAATATAATGATATCATGTCTGTGTTTTATTAAAAAAATCAAACTATTACTTTGGATTATCTTAAAGAATGCTAACTCAATAAATGGGTGTGTGGTATTATTTTAACGTCCAATAATAATTGTGATTGTGTAATAGACTACTTTTTAATGATTTTCTATTCCATTTGGCATCAAAAGAAAGTTAAGTTAACAAGTGTGCTTGCTTTTAATATTGAAACATTGTGAATTTTGGAAAGTTGTAAGTTTTAGATAAACAATTTAAATTTATTTGCTCAATGATAATATTATTTTAACAATAAAATAATAAAATTTGCTTTAATAACAGAGCTTATATATAAGCTCTGTTATTAAAGCAAATTTTATTATGTTATTGTTAGTTATATATAACTCTATAAACTTTTATACCCTAAATAATATTGAAATATTATAATTAAACCTTAACATAAGTATACATAAGGTAAAGAATAGCTTTGAGTCCACTTTTTAATCGTTTTTTAGTTTTTCTATTAAACTAAATTAATATTCTGTAATTTAAGGTTTTTTCAAGTGTTTGACAACATTTTATTGCATTAGGTTGAACACTTTTTTCTTAAAAACAAAAGTTTCATATAATGTCAAGACTGGTATAAAATTAAAAAAAAAAATCATCGAATATTCTTGAAGACAATAAGAACAAATGTATTAAAAATATTTAATTTCAGCAAGACTTATAACAATTGTTAAAGTTCTGTTTGATAACCATTTCGTAAGGAAGTGCATTAAACTTAAAATATGCCAGCTTAAAATATGCCAAGTATGACATTACATCCACACTTCTAATTTTAGTTTGTATAAAAACTTTATATTTAAAAAGTATATAGTTTTATTAATTATAACTCACTTAAAAATAAGTTAGTTGTAAAAAATAAAAGTAAATATTCTTTCTCTTGAGAAAAATGAGAAAAATCAAAAAAAAAAAAAAAAATCAAAACATAAATGAAAAATAAGTGTAGTAATCAAAATAACTTCAATGTCTAAGGCTAAGGCTTATTGCTAGCTTAAATAGACTAATAAAAAAATAAATGTTTCATTTTACCCTAATATCCATATATCACCAATATATAAATAAGATTATAAAAAAAACTTGCAAGTTTTTGTTACTTAATCACCTTATGAGACATAGTGATTTCTGATGTTATTTTAACAGCCAAAACCTAAAAAGTGCAAATCAAAATATCTTTACTCTAAGTAACTTTACTCTAAGTAAGTAAACTCATCACTATTCCAAACAAACAAATGGTTGTCAAACTAAAGGCTTATGCTTTAAAAAAAATATTACGTGTTAAATAAAATTACTTTTGTTCAATTGAAAACAGTGTGCGATTTTTTTTTGAGCAGCATAAGTATAACAAATCATGATATAATCATGAGATTGATATAATATGAAATTGTTAAATTTGAGATTGATATAATATGAAATTGTTAACATTGTTGTTACACAAGTTATTACTGAGATGAAGAAAAAGACATTGAAAATTTGTTAAATCCTAACGGCAAATGTAAAGGTTGCATATCTAGTAGGTAATAAGTCAAAGGTTCCAGTCAAGTATGCAGCAGGAAAAATTATAGTTTTTGGATATAGTTGTTTTATTAGGCTAGTGACACCAAATTAAGTAATTGAGTTTATCACCTTTTGCCTTATCTGAGTGATTTAACATACATTAAAATACTAAAAAGATTGATGGCATTGGACAATAGATGTAACCATGATGGTTTGATTTATATATACAAATTTGTAAAGTATGTAGTTGCCAAAAGTTAGTATGTTAAATAAAAGTTAAAAACTAATGCAAAAAATTACCAAGTAGGCGTAATCAATTACAAGCAGAAGTCGCAGAAAGTTCTGAATGAAGTTCAATTTTTTTTCACAAGTTAATGCTAAAGTTAATACTAACTGGAATTGATTATCTAATTAACATTGTCAGCACAAACTGCAACTTCTTCAAAAGTTTGATCAAAAAGGAACTTGTTTGATGCTATTTTGTTTAGTTTATTATTGTAACTTGTAACTGGTGTTACCTAAATATTTGTTAAGCAGGCTAGATCCAAAACAAATAAGAAGACATCAATAAAAAACATATGCTGTCAAAAAATTCTTTCACAAATTTATTGTAAGTACTTATTAGATACACCCCCTAATTTAGTGATTATTTTTGATTATTATAAAAATTATTAAACACAATTTAAAGTCGTCACAAAAACTAAACTGACAATATAATATGATTCTGACATGGAAAATCATAAACACCGTCACAGCAGCAAATTATTTTAATATTTTACATGTTCTGCTGACTGATATTTTGACGGTGTTTAGTGTATAAGCAGAATGTACACCTTTTTCAACAAAATTTTTTTATAAAAATATCTTGATATTAAAAAAAAAAAGAAACAAAATTGGTATTTTTTTTCAAATAAAATTTAACAAAAAAAGTTTATAAAAATATACATATTTAACTAAAAACATTTAATTACTCCTTCGATTTGTTAATGTAGTTAAGTATTTTCCCCTTTCTAACTTTAACTCCACTGTTAGTCTATAATAATTTGAAAATTATAATAATTTTATGTTAGACTAACTGTTATTCTAACATAAAATTATTTAAAACTAATAAAAAGTAAAAAACACCTTAGTCATATCGAAAACAAGGTCATCTTTAGCATCTATAAAATTAACAGCCTGTCAAGAATCAATGCATCACCTACAAAACAGAATATGTTTTATTAAGTAAAACATTAAAAAATTAGGCTTAAGTAACTTTAAAAACAGATTAAAAAATTAAAAATTACATACTATTTATAAAAAAAATAATTGTATTTATCAAGAATAGAAGTTATACTTTTAAAAACAATATCTGCTATTCCATCTGGTAGATTTAATTCTTGTAACTTATCTTCTCTTTGTTAAACCTTCAACACTTGATAGTCTTTTTGAGTAATACCATCAAAGTGCAGTGACAGCTTTCTAACTGTAGTTTTTTTTAATTTCTTCTGTCAGTTTAACCTTTTCTTTTATTGTTGAATTGTATATAACCAGGACTTTTCAAATATTTTGCTAATGTTAGACTAAAAAAAGAAATTGATCATTAGTTTGTGTGGTCCATTAGAGAACCAGTTTAATGTGAATGAAAACAAGCATAAATTATGATTCAATATGATTACATTTATACTCAATATGATTACATTTACTGAGTATAAACAAAATAAAAAACAAGATAAAATTACATTCATATTCGTTTTTTTACATTACATTCATTATGGGATAATGAATGTAGTGTAAAAAAACGAATATGAATGTATTTTCATCCTATTTGTTATTTTGTTTATATTCAATAAATGTAATCATATTGAGTATGAATACATTTATATCATTTATATAATATTGTATATCTCATTTTTTCTTTTTTTAAATTATTCTATTTATTAAATGAAATATTACATTCAACACAGCTAAAAAATAACAAGCATTTATTCATCTTCATATCATATTACAAAGTAATTTGATATGAATGTTAATGTGTGCTTGTTATTTTCTAGTATAATCTTTACTTAATCTTTGCTTGACACAATTCCAAAATTTTGTTCAGCAGATTTAAAATAACTCAAACAGCTTTAAAATAGAAATTTATATTTCTTTGTTTTTAATTTATCTAATCTTGATAAGTTGACAACAATCCTTTGTTTAAAATATGACAAATGTCTTTGTTAGTCAAGTAGTTACTATAGTTATCCAATTTTTTAATTTAAAATTAGTTTTTGTTATTGCATTTAATATTTAATAAGTTGATTATAAGTAATTGATTCCATTGTTTAATTTTTACTGTTTAGAGATCACAATTATAGTTTTGTAACATAAATACATTAAAAGACATCCATTGAATATCATTGTATGATCAATCTCTGTTGGTTGGTAAATTATAGTGTTGACTTATAATCTGATTATTGAACAGAATTGATTTTAAAATAAAAATATACATAAAAAGCAGAAAGAAAAAAAATTGTTCACATATTTCTTGTATTATGACAAACAAAACAAAATAGAATAATTTTTGAAATATCTTTTAAGCATAATCTAGAAAAATACTAAACAAATTAAGAGAAACATAATATAAATACTACATATACATAAGATAAATACTACAGATAAAAGTACTTAAGAAACATAATTTAGAAAAATCTAACAGAATACAATACTAGAGAAACATAATTTAAAAAGTTATTACAATTAGAATTGTAGTTTTGAATATTGTTATTTTTGGTTGTTGGGTGTGAGAGAAAACTCCTTGAAAATAAAGTTGTCTTGTAAAATCAAAATGTAAAAATAGTGTGTAATTTTATATTATATAACATAAATGAATTAAAAAAAAATTAAGCAAATTAAATTGATAATAAAAAATAGCAAATATAAATTTGTTAAAAGAAGTTACAAGTTTCGAATTAGCACATTTAAATCATAAAAATTTTAATTTGAAAATAAAAGTTGAAATAAAATAAATTTTTAGAGAATACTTTTACTATTTAATATTCTGATTTTTTAGTTTTTATAAAATTTGTAATTTATTATTTTAGTGATTTTAAATATACTTTTATGTCTATCAAATTTTAAAAAATTTAGTTTCAGATCAAGTGACTCTTGTTATTATACTATAAAGTAAATTATTTCATTTAGAATTTTTGCAAAAATAAGATTTGTCCTTTATCAAACTTCAATGCAATCAAGTTCACCTTATTTTAAATATGTTCATGCACTTTTTTTTTTGAATAAGGTTTTAAAAAAGAAAGAACATAATGGAATTTGAAATAGGAGTAAAAAAAACAGAGAACAAGAAAAAAAAAAAGTAAACTTAAAGATGACATTCATGATAAGCTGTTGCTACCTGTTGTATTCAGGCTAGCTAATTAATAAGTTATGGTTTTATATGAAGACTGGATTTTTATTGATGCAACTATATATTTAGATTGTATCATAGTATCATTAGCAAATAAAACTAATTTAGAGCAGTTAAAGAATAAAGACTTAAAAGTTTTAAAACTTAAATTTGACACAAAAAATCTAAAAATGTAAGAAAAAGAATATGGTCAAGTTTGCTAGGCTCTGTTACAAGTTTTTTTTATATCAAGAAAGCAATTAAATCTCACTTCACCTATTCCATCTAATGCAGATTAGAGCATTTCTGTTATTTTTAGTTATCATCAGTAGAATGACAGTATTGAAATATTTATAACATTAGAAATTTGTTAAATCTCAACAACATTTGTTAAATTTACAACCATGATTAGAGTAGGGGATCTAGATTACAACCATGGGTAGCGCAAGGGGTCTAACTAAAATGCAAGTAAGGTTGTTAAAGTTAATGGATTTTCTCATAGTGAACTTATGACTATTTAAATTTTAGCTTCCTTTATTTTATATTTTATGTTAGTATAACTAAATTAAGGAAGAACTGCTGTAAGTTATTTTATTTTGATTGTTTATAGCTCAATAAAAGGAGATTTTGAATTTTACAGTAATCGCTTAAAATAAAATGACTTATGGTGTAGACATAAATTTGAGTATGAAAGTACTTTTTAAAAAAAGTTAATTTTGTAAAAATGATTATTTTTTTTGTATATTTTATTTTCAACTTAGGTTGTATGATTCTGGAATCCTTAATCAGCATTTAATGCTAATAAATAAAATCTCAGTAAATAGTTAACCATAAAAACAAAGTTTTTAATATATGAATATATATAATACTTATTTAACAGATCATTATGTACATTCTATAATACTATATAAGACTATATATAATATTTATTTAACAGATCACTATGTACTTCAAATGCAGCACTTTTTGCTGACGATACAAAAATATTTTACCCTATTACTAATTTGCATTCACACACCGTACTTCAAAATGATATTGATATCTTGGTTGACTGGGCAACTAAATGGGGAATGAAATTTAATATAGAAATATGTTCAGTTTTACACCTAGATCATAAAAATAAACATCTTGTCTATTCTATGTACGATCCAGTGAAGAAAACAAGGATTGATATCAAATCTACCAACTCAGAAACTGACCTCGGAGTACATATCGATAATAACTTGCTATTTTCTAAACATACCTCTACTCAAGTTAATAGGGCAATGCAGATGCTATTTTTAATAAAAAGATCTTTCTCTTATCTAAATTCATTTTGTTTTAAAAGACTGTTTTCAGCACTAGTACAACCATATTTAGAATATTATGGTTCTGTATATAACCTTCGTCTACTGAAAGACAAACGACAAGTTGAAAATATACTCAGAAGAGCATCTAAATCAGTTCATGGATTAAAAAGTCTAACATATCATTAAAGACTATTAAAAATTAATATGACAACCATAAGATACAGACTAATCCGGGGAGATTTATCTATAAATGGCTAAACAACTACTACAACTGTCAAACAATCTTTCCAAAAAAAATTATAAATTCTATTACAAGAGGACTTTCATTTAAACTAGAAAAACCTTATTCTCGTCTAGCTTCTCGTCAATACTTTTTCACCTTACGAGTAATCAACAAATGGAACTCCCTCCCAGATGACATTGTAAATGCTACTTTCGTGAGCAATTTTAAAAACAAACTCGACAATTATCTAAAAGAAGAAAAAACAATTTATGATTAGTATATTTATATAGTAATCATAAAACAGGTTGACAGGCATTTCATGCCTATACAAATCCAATTAGTAAACCTTAATAATAATAATACATCGAATAATTGAACAACATATTCTAAAAGTACCTAAAATAGCAATTTTAAAAGCCATTAAAAAGAGAACTACTTTTTACCTTACTATGGGCCTTTTTAACCTTACTATGCGTCTGTATATATTATATTTATATATTTTTTTATAAAGATATTTTCTTAATATTAATTTATTTCTTATCTTTTTACAAGTTTATTGTATGATTTATTAAAGGTTTTTACAAAAAAATGGAAAATGGTCTATTTAGCAGCTTAGTTAAAACAGAAGGTATATGTTTTTTTAGTTTTTTGTTTTTATATTTATTTAATTATTTTAATGATTTTAATTTAAAACTTTAAGTTATATATCGACAAATGATATAGTAGCGAAACCCTAATAATCAGTAAATAGCAAGAACTATCAACACAAATCACAAGGCTTGTTGCTTTAATTCATACTTTTTAAGCTCTGCAGTTCTAACAACACATTTCTTTCTAAATATTAAAGTGTTGTTTTGCAGAGTATAACTTTAGGTAATTATTATAATTATTATAAGTAATATTTGGTGTAATAAAAAATTGCTTTAGGCACTTTTTTAAGCGGAGTTTTACAAGGTTCTGTACTTGGTCCAATATTATTCATCATCTACATAAATGACTTAACATATAATTTAAAATCAGATTATAAAATTTATGTTGATGACACTAAACTGTTGCAAGAAATAAGACCTGAGTTTCATGATGCAGATTGTCTGATTCTTCAAAATGATTTAAACATTGTCACAAAGCAACAAAAATTCCTCAAGTTTATTTTATGCTGAAAGGTGTCGGCCTCTCAATTTTACTTCTTTGGAAACATGCAGACAATGCGGCGACTTTATCCAACATTTTATTCTTGAAAACACTTTTGAAGTTACTAATTGGCGTAATCCACCTCTTCGCAGATCACCATCCAACGAACTAACACATGACTTCACAGGCAATAATGCTTGACATTTTTTCTTCACAATAATGCTCGAAAATTTCTTCACAAATCGTATTGTGAATTATTGAAATTATTTACCGTTGTTATGCAAAAGGCTCCGTCAATTAACGCATTTAAAAGTAGAATTAAAAAGCATTTTTTTCCACAACTGCATATAGTGCATCTTTTACTGAAGATGAGTTGCATGTTTAATTTAATTAAGTTGTGCTTTAGCAGCTACAAATATTGACTTTTTAGGTACATTTGTCATAAACGTATACTGTAATTAAATAAAAGCAAAAAAAAAAATTGAAAAAAAAAAAAAAATTAAAAATAAAAAAAAAATAAAAAAATAAAAATAATAAAAAATAAACAATAAAAAATGAATAAATAAATAAAAATTAAATTAAAAAAAAAAAAAAAAAAAATGCTTTTGTTTTTTCATCTGTTTATTTGATTGTTTTTTTTTATTTGTCATGTAATCTATAAAGACTTATTTAAATATATTACTATTACTATTACAATTAAAATATAAATGAAATTTAACAAAATTATATATAAAAATGTCAATCAAATACTTAGATGCACTAAGTTCAAGTATGTTGAACTTTGATACAGTTATGAGAACACACTTTTTTCTTGACCAAGCTATACATGACTGTACATATAGTTACCTAACTAACTGTTGTACAGATAGCACCTAGCATTGATATCTTTTAAAAGGTTCATCTATTTCAACAATGACATTAGTTTAGTTATTAAAAAATGATCTTAAAGTTTTAATCTTTAATTTTTGTTTCAGATAATTATACTGTAAATGTAAAACATCATTAAGATTACATAACATCACTAAGTAAAATTATTGATTAAAATATTTGCTGAAGTATTAAAAATAATAATATAAATATTATTAATATAAAATAGTATTATTAATATAAAAGCTTCATTTAATATTTATGAAAGGTTTTTTAATACTATCAATATTAATTGTACTTCAAGAAAATTTGTTAATAGGAGAAAAATGGGGTGAAAAAACCTTCCTGTATTTGAATACTGTTGTAATATCAAGGCTGGTTCTCCTAATTATGATTTTTCTCTTCTTAAACAAGGTCCAAAAAGACATTATTAACTTAGTTCGACCTGTTCTATTTACTAAGATTGAGCCACTCTTCCATTTTCATAAACTTGCATCTCTTTTACTTTTTTTACAAATATTAGCATTCAGCCCTACCAACAAACACTCATTTCAACTTGACTCGTAATTCATCAAGTTTTCTTTTTTTTTTTCTCTGTCCATTCCTGATCAAAAATCTTTTATCTATCTTGTTTCTTTCCTTGCACTTCAATGCTTTCCATTCTCTCCAATCTTTATGTTTTTTATACTCATGTAACTTTTTTTTCTCTATACCTGTTTCCTTGCTCTTTAACACTGTTCTTAGTTTATAGTAAGTCTCAACTCTATAGTTAATAGTTCTTTCTTTGTTAAAAGTGAATTAGTTAAAAAATTAAAAATAAAAATACAAGCAAACAGATTGTTTTTAAAAAAAAAAACTCTTCAAGTTAAATTCAAAACTCACAATTATCAAGTAGAAACTCAAATTGAAATTACAAAATCAAACTGACACCAGAAAAGAACTTATTGTATATTATAGTTTTATATATTTTATATGCATATTAAAGGGTAAACAGGTTCTATTTGCTGACCAGCTTCGCTTCCCTTCTTCATCTATTAAACTGGTGTAGATATGTTTATAATACAACTTTTTCTATTATCTCTTAATAAAAAATCTCTTAAACAAAGTTTTTTTGTTCTGAGGCTGGCTGGTACTCAGGTTTCCTAAACTCTGTGGTAGCTCTCAGTGAGACTGATTCCATTACCAGCTGTAAAATATTAGAGAATTAATGTTTCCAATGTTGCATATAGATGGTGTCTCTTTTCGTAATTTTGAAGTGCATTGTTGAGGCCACATTTTGACCCCCTTACGTTAGGATTTATTATTAGTAATTTAAAGATTGCTGTTACGACAGGATTTATTAATAGTAATTTAAAAATTGCTTGGATTATTTTCTTTTAATTTTTTAAGCTCCAATTGTCACATGCTAGGCTTAGGTTTTTACATTGGTAAGAGTTCATCCATTTGTCAAGAAACTAGGTTTGAATCAACAGACTATTCTTTTATGTGTTTTTGTTAAGCACCACCACTCTATTACCTTTCACTTTGTTCTTTATTACTCTCCTTTATCTCAAGACTTTTTTTGATGTTATTTTTAATTAAATTTACCTATCCCTTTCTTTTTATCTTTCAGCCAATATCGTTGTTGTTGGTGACTAATGTTCATCAGGCATTAAAGCCCACAAGTTTTGCATTTCTCAATCTCCAACATAATTAGTAAAAAAAAAGAAAAAAATATAACTATTTTTATAAGCTAAAAATTAAACTAAAGATTTAATTTTTCTTTATTATTTTCTGCATAATAATTATTTGAAGATGTTTAAATTTGAATTTAGTTTCTCAGCAATACCTATCAAAAAAAAAAAAAATTTTTTTTCATTTAAACAGGTATTTCTTCCCTACTAAAACTCAAAAAAGCGTCTCTATTTTTAGCATAATTTATTTAATTTTGCATGATTAATTTATGCATAGTTATGTATAATATACTAGTGGACTTTGACCATCTTCTGCTGCTTTTAAAAAAACCTTCCTAACCAATGTTTTATATTTTATTATTTGTTTAACCAATTTTATATGCATATTATTTGGTAAACAGATTATATCTGCTTACCAGCTTTGCTCACTTTCTTTATCTATTAGAATAACTTCGATGTGTTTATAATACATTATTTTCCAATTAATGTTTAATGATCTTCTTGACATTTTTAATATTTTTATTTAATAGTTTAATTTATTAAGTTCATTTGTTATACTAATTTTTTTAAGTATATATACTGATTTAAAGATTTGATAACTTATCTCTGTAGCTGATATGATTATAAATTTGGATTATAAATTTGGAGTCAAAGACTGACTTTATATATGACTGGTTATAAATACAGTTATTAACACCAATTTTTCTTTTGTTTTTTGATTTAATTAATTTGTTTGCCTTTTTTTTTTACATGTTTAAAGTTTAAATTTCTTATGTTTAGTGTCTAGAAATGAATTGGCTTCTGATGAATTTATTTCTAAATGTTGTGGTGAAATAAGCTATAATATTGGAAGTGATTGGTTGCGATGGGGAAGACACCTCGGTCTAAGTGATTCAGATCTTGATAACATTGACTCTGATAATACAAAATGTTATGAAAAAGCTGATAATATTTTTAAAAAATGGAAACAAAAAATTGGAAATCCTTCATGGGAGCAATTAAAAAAAGAATTAATGGCTTTTAATCGATTAGATATTGTGATTAAAATTGAAACAAAATTTGGAGGTAACAATACTAAATAAGAAACATATTTTCTTTTTATTTTCTATTTTCTGATATGTGTTTTCTATTTACTGATATGATAAAACTATGTATCGTTGGCATGCACTTAACTTTACTATTTTAAAACTATAGAAATTAGGGTCGGCATTCGGCAATGCCGACCTCAAACACTTTTAGTTTGGCATTCAACCCCTGACCCTGACTTTAACTCTAACCCTTACATCTAGCAACTCTAGTTTTGGCGCGTGACTCTATTTAATTTATTGCACATAAGAACATTACACAGCAAGCATCAATGAGCACTTTTTTGTGACTAGATTCATTAACTCTGCTCCACTAAAAAGTTTGTCATTTATGGATTACTTAAATTACTATAAAGCACAAAAGAAAATCATTAATAATTAAAAGTGAGCATTTTATCAGTTTTTCACCAATAGTTAGTAAAATATTTTTTGTATATCTAACGTATTTATAATAATTCTAATGTGACAATTCGTCACTTAAGAGTTATAGGGTTCTATCTGCCTTTTTTTATGTTGTGAGAACTTAACTTTCAATATTTATTTAAAACATGTTTTACAGCTGTTATTCATTATAATTATAAATTATAAGTTGTTTATGTTATCTGTTAAAAATGTTAAAAAATGATATATAGTATATCATTTTTTAAGTGGTTTGTTTTTATTATTAATTATTAATTAAAACTTTGATTGTTAAATTCTTTCAACATAAAACAAGGCAGATAGAACCCTATAATTCTCATGTGACGAATTGTTAACCAAGTTATGTAAATTGCAGGAAATAATTTCAGATGAGTCATATTTAAGTTACAAGAGCAGACTGGCAAACTAAGTTGGGTTAAACATAAACACCTAGATATTGGTCTTGGGGTGAGTGAATGACAAACAGTGAAAACCTCTTTTAAAACAGACTTGGCTAGGATTGTTAGATGTCAGGTTTTTACGAAGGTAAAAGTGTTATGATTTTTGTAGGTTCGGTATTGTATTCTTCCATGTAAAAGCCAGTCATCTAGCAACTCTAGTCTAAGGAAGCCTTTTCTGCCTAATCTTATTTTTCTGTAAGCTCTCAGCATATTTACAGACACTTTCAATGTTTCAATTTAAGTTTTAATAAACAAGGTCATGGATAAAATTGAATAATTTTGATAAATTATTAGGTTTTTTTATAGTTTCACAACACTATTTTCTTTTTGCTCAGTTTTTTGGGTGCAGTTTCATTTGTTTTTATTTCACTCTGGTGGTGTTTTGCTTTGTTTTAGCTCCACATGATTTTAACTGTCCAAGTTTTTTCAGTTTCATACTAGGTTTGTTACAAAACATGAAACATAGACAAAATTTTTTATAAATTTTCAGGAGGTCAAAAATTATATGAAAAGACATTTGTAATTAAACCTAGCGGGAATGAGTTGAACCCTTTTAGAACTTTTTGTTATTATTTTCTATAGATACATTTTTAGTGTTATTTTTTTACTCCATATTTTTATTTCAAGTTTTTGTTATAAATAAAAACTTTATATTATTTAGAGATTTCAAGTTCACCAAACAAAGATTTCACTGTTTTTTCCAATAAAGGTAATTTTTTAAATTGGTTTACGCTTTGTTTGCTTCAAAAGTAAGAAAATTATTTTAATGTTAAATAATTTATTAAGTCAAGTCCTTTTATTAAGTTTTAACTTTTTTATTTGATTTTCAATTTTTTTTATTAAACATGCATTTTTATGTTTACTTACTTTGCTTATTTTATTATTGTTGCTAATCATCAATTTTGTTCATTGTGTTACTGGCTTATGTAAATTCATATCTCATTGCTTGTTTCACTACAATACTTTTTATACAATGTTCACATAATAATTTACGGTAATAATGTAAAAGTCAATAAAGTAAAAGGGGTTTACAAATAAAAATAAAATTGTAATTAATTGTTTTATTCTTATTTAAAGCTATAATTAATACCCTATTTATAATTATTTATAACTATAATTAATATTATGACAGTATCATTAACTTGTTTGAAAAACAAAACAAGAAGAGAGCTTATTGTCAAGATGCAGTATTTTTGTTGCTCAAGTTTAGTTTCATGATGCTTTTATAATATTTTAAAGTTACGTTATGTATTGTAATGAAAACAAGACTCTTTGCATAATGTGCAAAATGTCAGTTTTTTTTAGGTAACCGAAGCATAACATTTTACATAACGATATTTAATACTGTGCACCTAAAACATACTAAACACTAGTTTATACGTAAAACTATATAAAAGACCCTGGGTCTTATTGTAGTTTTATAGATGATAACAAGATAAATGATAAAAAGAAGCTTCTTGTCAAGGTGCAGTGTTCTTGTTGCATAAGTTTAGTGTCATGATGCTATTGTTTTGAGATTAATTTCGAATAATGTGTGTTTACTTTTACTGTATTTTTTCAAAGATTTTTTTGTAGTTGCAAGTTTGACTTTAAAAGTGTTAACACAATAAAATAAAATAAAAAGATGTTAATTGGATTCACTAAGTATTTTAATTGAGCTCACTAAGTATGTTATAATTCCTAGATGTAGCAGTGTCACAATTTAAATAGTAATGATAAATAATTCTTTGTTTTGTTAACAAAACGACTGAAAAATCTGGCCAGTTTTTTGCAACAAAATATTATTTCTGTGGTCAGTATTCCCACTTCCTGGCCAAGCCTGCTCTAAAAGTGTTAACTACTCTCAATAATTAGTTGGTAAGTACACTACTAATATTTAATATTTTAATTGCTTACCACAGCAAATCCCATCTGTTATAAATGTTTTTTTATTGTTTAATATTTATGACTTATCTAGATATGGAATATCTAGATGGACTATATATTTTGTCGGTGGTTTTAGGTGAATCAATTAGCCTGAAATAAATTATAAATAACAATCCTTTGTAAAGTAGGCATTGCTCTAAAAGTGTTCACTGCTCTTAATAATTGGTTGGTTAGTTCGCTTGCAATTGAACTAGAACTAGTATTAAAAAAACTTATTAAAAGTTATTCTAACTCACTTGAGGCTTTTTTCAGTAAACAATACCTTTTGACATATTTGTCTTTACTTTATTGTAACTCCAATAGTAGTTTAGTGGCACTTTAGAAATCAGATTCAATGATTACATCATTTTCCAAGATAATTCTATTAAGGCACTATGCATATTTTGGAAAATAACTATGTAATGTTTTAAAATACATTATTTTGTTCATAGAAGTTTTTCAAGCATAAATATTTTGATAAAAAACAACTTTATTTTATGTTTAAAATGAGTTATATATTCATTAATTCTTATAGTTGGTAAAATATAAAGGAAGAAGAAAAATTAATTCTTATAGTTGCTAAAATAATAAATGAAGAGAAATATAAAGCAATCTTTTCTACCATCTGTTTTTTAATTAATAGTTTTTTTTTAACTAATTTACTCTAACAAGGCTGCAGGCAACCACTTTTTATGTTGGGACATACTAGAAAACAAAAATATTTTTAAAATGCAAAAAAATTGGTTGTCAGATTAATCAAAAAACTGTTAATTGTATCAGCTAGATTTCTCGTAGCCATTTTTTTTTCAAGTACTTTATAGTAGTTTATTAAAAAATTAATCAAAGTTGGGTTATATAAAAATGTTGTTTTATTAATTTTTAAGCTTTATTTTTAAGTTCCTTTCACACTAAAGTCTTTTAAGTACATTTATAGTTTTCTGCATCAAAAAAGCATACATGTTTGTTTTCATATTTTGCACTTAGTTGAATACCAGGTCATTTTAGATCGTTATTAAAATAGAAGTATTGCAGGAACTGTATTTTTTAAGTTACAGCCGAAGAAGTTTAAAAAAAATATGAGGACCCATAATTCCAATTTTCATAAATTTTACCCATTAATTAATACCCATGGATAGCAAGAATATATAACAAATAGTGGTTTTAATAATTTCAGGAGAAATTTGTGAACCAAGATTTGTAGCCTCGCTTATTTTCTTTTCTTTTGCAACTTTGAGGCATAGCTCCTTAAATTAACAAAAACGAAGAGCTTGAAATTTTCATAAGAAATAGTCATTTTTACATGAGCAAATAGTATATACACAAATTTTACTCATTATCTTTTAATTTTAAATTTCTCTTAAGTTTTTTTCTTTTTCAATTCGTCTCCATGCAAAAATCTTCATTAGTAAAAATATTATTTCTTTTTAACTTTAAACAGTTTTTAAAAACTGCTCCTTTATCTTTATAGTCCAATAAAATTAGATACATCAATTGTCTCTCTAATACTTGATCAAGATTTGCATTTAAAAGTTTTTAAGTATTTTAGTATTTTATTAACTTTCATCTTATTGGAGATTCATGTCTAAATAATAGCGTCTAAATTAAATTCTCCTCAACTTTGAAAATCTCTGAAACCGTCTAAAAAATGACAAAATGAAGTTAACTCAAGTTTTTTTTCTATTCATTTACAAGTCTTTACAGATAAGTTTTCTGATTAATTACTATTGTCTGCAATAAATTGGCAAGACATAAGTAACTTATTGCAAAGTCTCAAATATATCTAAAAATATTTTGCCAGTTTTCCTTAAAACTTCATTTAAACATAATATTGTTTTTAAAAACATAACACCAAAAGTTTAAAAAGTTTATTTTTTCTGTTTTTATCCCAACACTTTTACAGCATAAAAATATGTTTTTAATTTCAAATTAAATAAATCTTATTGTAACATTAAATTGGTTATACTGTTTTGGGTACTTCATCATCAAATCATTTAGTCCATAGAATTGTGTCTTCCTTTTTGTTTTATAATTTGATACATGATTGCTATTTGTTAAAAAAAACATTGCACGCAAAATTGAAAATTTTAGCTAATGTTTAGCAGTTATCAAGATATGGCAATTTTTATATTGGCCTGATTTCCTAAAACAACCCGGTTTTTATGACATTTTGAAAAAACAATCAGTGTAATAAAATAAAAAAATAATAATAACAAAAAAATGAAAATAAATATTTATAATACTTTTTTGATGCAGTATTCAAAAAAGGTACTTGTAATGCTAAAATAAGAAAGTAATTGTTTTTAAATTATTAAAACAACAAGTTTATATAACCCAAATTTTGGGCCGTCAAAAAAAAAATTTTTGCTTATAATAATTTTAGTTACTTAGATGCTTACATGTCAACAAAGATCTGGAAAACAACAACAACATGTAGAACTATAATTTATTATTGTGTTGTTAGTATCTGTACTACACCTCTTTGTCTCAACCCTGTTGTCCTCAATATAAACTGATAAAAGCTACAAGTACTAGAATTATAAAAATTCATACAAGGCTTCTGTGATTTTCTGTGAGAAATTGTATAAACAATATCAAAGAAATTATTTTTTTCAAGATTGATAAAGATTGACTGAGGAATTGTGCACCATTTTGGAAACAAATCTAAGTAGAATAATCTCTAAAACTAAAAGCTATCTTCAATTTAATCTATAGATAATAATAGCTTTAAACAAACAAGTGAAGATGCTAATTGAACAGGTATTTTTTATTTTTCTGACATTCAATGTTTTCAATCTACTCAGCAAATAAACATTAATACATTGAAATTTTACTGCAAATTTGGTAAATATATTGGTTGAACAGTATGAAATTCAGCATCCTTTAGTCAGTAATAACTCAACTACTTCAAAAAATTTTTTGATTTATTTTCACACGGATGCTAATTCATTGTGGTTTAACTTTAATGGCAAAAAAATCATGGGATAAGTGTTTTTACCGAAAAAAAATCATCACACTGTGCAAGCGTGCATTCTTTGTTTCTTATTCATTTTCATTATTTTTCCATTCTTTGATTTATTCCTTTTCTGGCATTCTTCCAAGAAGTTCTTTATCTAAAATTTTTTTAATGACATATAGTGAGTGACCAAAATTCGGTTCGGTTCTGGTTCCAGTCATAAATTTGGCTGGAATCAAAATTCCTGTTTTGGTTCCAGCTAGATTTGAGACTTCGGTTTCGGCCGGAATTTCAGTTCAAAATGCTACTGAAAATAGATATTATAAAGCTTTGTTTTAAATAAATTATTTAGCATTGTAGCGTAAATATATTTTGATTAAAAATATTTAATTAATTTTTTGCTAGTTATTTCAACTTCTTATATTATTTTTTGTGTCTGATGCGTTGTTTCTTTTAACATTTCTGGTTTTTAATTATCATGTTTAAAATATGATAATCTACAAATTTAATGACGCTTCAATGTTATCTACATTGTACAATCATATGTTTATGGACTTGATTATTTATTTATTTTAATTATCACATGAATTGGTAACAGTAAAATCTTTATGAATTTGGTGATTTTTTAAAATATCACGTGGAATTTGTTTGAAATAAATTAAAAAGTTTTTATTGGCTTCATTCATTTTTTTAAAGCAAGTTGTTTTAATGTTTTCTTGTTGTTAAAACATTAAAACAATAATGTTTTCTTGTCATTATCACTTTTTTAATGGTTTCTCGTTTAAATTGTTAATTGTCTTTTTAATGAACTTTTTAATGTATTGAACTTTTTAATGTAACCTAAGAAATTT